AAAATCTGCAACTGACGTGGTCGAGATGTGTTTGTGGATGAAATAATTTGCAAGATGTCCGGCCATATTTGGGCGCTTATGGGAATAAATAAACTGCAAACAAAAAGTACTACAATATTAATTAATTAGTAAGTACTTTTGATTCCTATATCTTTAAAACATTTAAATTTACACGCTAATATAATGCTCTGCAGAATCTATAAAATTTTTTCTGTTAAGATAATTTTAACAACAAATTTATTAAAAATGCAAAGCCGAACAAATATTAAAAAAATATTTCTTACTTGACAATGTTGCTCAAAATAATATTTGCACAATTTAACACTGTTTCGCCAGGATACAGTCGCCTATTAAGTAATCGATTTAACGCGGAGAAAATTAGACAGATGTTTTATTTCTCATGGAGTAATATGTACGGGAGAAGTCCTGGGGTGCAAAAGCTGCGCAAGCGTAGTCTTCGTTTCTCGGCGGCATATATCCGTGTGCTTCAGTCCATAATGTGACGCTGGCAAGTTACAGTTCAACTTTTGTGGTAAATATATGTTTTACAATTGTCACATTACTGCAAAATTATTGTATGTAAAATATTATTTTTTTCAAAGAAATAGTATTGTTTTATATAATATTTTTTTATTCTTTAGTATTTATTTATTTGGTATTTCAAAAAACAAAATTAAAATTGAATATACATATTGAAAATATAAAAATGTATACATTAAAATAAAACATTAAAATATATATCTTAAACAGGCTTAAAATAATATTATATTTCTCAGAAATATTTTCTTTATTATTTTTGAGAATTTGGGTATACTTGATACCCTTGATGAGAAATACCCTACATGTATTATCTTATTTGCCAAAATTTACAATGTAGAAATATAAAATGTTTATTTATTATTGATAATGAAATATTTAACATTTTTTAATTTGGTTGTTATTGAGTGATGTGATTCATTAATTATAATTTGATGTATTCTGATTATGTGGATATAGATGTTAAGTATAGCATCAACATCAATGTTAATGTTAGATGATATCTCATTTATTATAAATCGCTTTTTTATACATTTTTTTATTAAGTTTTCTCTAGTATAATATATAAGTTGATATACTTTGTTGTCATTGCCGTACAGAATACATGACTGTAAAATAGGATAGAGATGTGTTTGCTAGCTGTAATGAAAAATGATTGAACTATTGCATTTATTTCATTTTTTTCAAGTTAGTAACACATTAAATATATTATAATATATAAAATTTTACCGTGGTAAAACACTGTATGGATGCTATAAATAATCCACCAATATTCAGACCAAAAGTCTTGTTGCCTCTTTTATATAATGTTGAAAACATTTAAAAAAGTGAAATACATACACATATATATAATACATATCAGGATACATACGTGTATTAAAATACGCAGTACATAAAATTATAAATAGATTTTTGTCTTAAATCTTATCTTATATTGTACTTATAAATCGTCTAAAGTATGTTTTGTAAGAGATATAATTTAAAAAATATTATAAATTAAATATATTTAATGTAAAAGAATATTGAAAGAAAAATAAAAAAGAAAGATTTTATTTTTATTATAATTCTTTTAAATTTAATATCTTTGCTATTAACTATAGATAGTTCTTTAAAATCTCTGTGTGCGCGTATTTGAATATATTACAAAAAATTCATTTACAGGCTTGTAATCAACATAATTTTAAGTCATTTTTGCGATATATATGAATCAAAATCAAAAGGTAGATAGCCTTTCTCTATAATCAATATTCTAAAATTGTTCAGATACGCATTAAACATTTATAAATATTTAAAAATTATTTATATTATTATACAATTTAAACTATTAAACGAGGGATTCACATTTTTTTTCAAGTTGTAACATGCAAAAAAATCAAGTTTATGTGAATCTTCCTCGAACAAAATTTTAATTAAGAATAATTAATTTTATGAGGATATTTCTTAGATCAATTTTTGAAACATTTGTAAGATATTATAAAATCAAAATATTTTTAAAAAATTTGGAAGAAAGATAATTTTGATAAAAAATTATGTTACTATGGAAAAGTCGATTGCAAATTAATTTACAAATCTTGATATCATGAAAATTAATAATACCTATTAAGAATAGTTATTAAGAATAGAATAGTATTGATAAGTAACTTGTCTTTTTGTTCTGTAGCGACTTCATTTATACTGTATGTATATGTATTAGCATTGAAAGTGCGATTACAAGCATATTAAATGTCAATCAATATTAAGCAAAAATATTATGTAACTTACAATCAATAAATATATTTATAATCGAAAAACAAAACTTACTCGAAAAATATTCATGCTTAAAGTCATCACTCCAAATATTATTAAAAAGAAAAACTACCGTACTTCCTCTTAATGGCAGATTCCTTAGAACATTTTAAAACAAAAATCCTAATATTAAAATGTCGAGGCTATTTTTGTATTAAGATTTTTGTCTTGAAATATTTTAAGGATTCTGCTATTAAGAGGAAGTACGGTAGTTTTAGGACATTCTGTATATATAAAAATTATAAAAATGAATACATTTTAATATTAAATAAAAAAATAAAATATTAAAGTTGAAAGCTTAAACTATTATATCTCTCAGAAATTTTTTCTTTGCTATTTTTGAGAAATTATTAATAATATGTAGAAGATTATATCGCGTGTTCAAGCTTCAAAATCGATGATAAAGTGAGAAAGAAAAAAATTTATATTATTTTTTTGATATTAATTCAGAAAAAGAATAATATTAAATATTAAATAGTTATAACTGTTTATTCTAACTTTTTCTCATCAAATATTTCATGAATGTGAATTAATGAGGAATGCCAATATATACGCATAGTTATTAAATCGGTTTATTTTTTTCATACATTTATGAAAAAATTGCTATTCTAATTTCTTACTTTGTTAATATTTTTATTCGTACATTTTTATACGTCATACTCTATATACTATACTATTCTATATACTGCTTTATATATTACTCTATCATATTCTTATTTTTCATTAATTTTATACTACTAACCTAACATATCAATTGATATATTTTCTTGCTATTATTATTGGACTGAATACATAATTGTAAAGTAAGATACTGATGTCTTCACTAGCTATAAGAAAACATTTGTTTCTGCATTTATTTCGTTCTTTTATTTTTAGAATATGATACATTAATACATAACATATTATAATATATATGAAATGTTTTATACTGTGGCAAAGCACTGTAATGATGCTACAAACGGTGCATCGACGTTCAGATCACAAGTTGTGCTACCTCTTTGCAGCAGAAACAGTAAATGCTTATTCTTACTTATCTCTATTACATATTTTTAAGATAATAAATAACATGTCAATTTTCTTTTCTTATATTTACGAAAGAAAATGCTGTTGAATCTCGTTTTGCTGATACTTAAAATTTTCCTGTTTTGATATGTTTTGTTTCATTTATCTAAAAATAAGATACATTACCAATTCTTTATCAATCTTTATTATTATTCATTCACATATTTTTGTTGGCTTTACTACATTGAATAAAATAAGAAAAGTAAGATACAGATGCGTTTATTAGCTGAAAAGAATCATGTATTTTTGTTCAGTTTATACGTTTAAAATAAAGTTTAATATTTTATAACATTTTTTTTTATCATGGCAAGACATTGTAAGGATGTGACAAACAATCTGCCAATATTCAAACCGAAAGATTTATTACCTCTTTGCAACAGAAACAATATTATCTTTTATAAATATAGAGGAACTGTACATTACCAAACATGATATTTATAAACAATAACGACGATGATAAAATAATTTTGAACAAAATAAGAATATTTATAAATAATATGAGTATGTATTATATTGTATATTATATAAGGTATATTATTTTTCATTAATTTTACACCACTAAAATATGAATTGTTATGGTTTTTTGTATTGGACTGAATACATAACGGTAAAGTAAGATACGGATGCTTTCACCAACTGTAAAAAAACATTTATTTCTGCATTTATTCCTTTTAGAATGTGATCCATTTATAATACATAACATATTATAGTATATATGAAATATATTTTGTACCGTAGCAAAGCACTCTAAAGATGCTACAAACAATCCACCGACGTTTACACCAAAAGTTTTGCTACCTCTTTGCAGCAGAAACAATATTAGTTTTTGTATATGTAGGGGAGCTGTATACCAGCAAACATTATACCTATCATGTAATAAAAATATAATGGATCAGTAAATCTCTTCAGAGAAAAGTGAAAAAATCTAATAAGATACATATATATATATATATTCGTTTTGTTCATTTTTTAAATTTACTTTCTTTTTATTAACGCTTATACATAAAAAGATAAGATTATATGACCTAAAGAGATTTCTTACGCAGTGGCATATACGTCATTATTGTGATTTATAATTTCTTGTCCGACAAAGTTAGATAAAAACATATATAAAATACAAACAAGTATAATCAAAAATGATAATAAAAATTGCTCGACATTATATCCTGATGATGCAACCTGGAACATCTATAACACACGCGTAAACATTAGTAGTTTCAATGTTGTAATGAGTTTATAAGAAACCCAATTTATAGATGATTTACAATTTATAACAGAGATTATTTAAAATTATACTTAAATAATCAGTCATAAATTATAAATCATTTATATATATCTTGAGCTTTTTATAAATTAAAAGTCTTTTTATTAGTCAAATTATATGTATTTCTCTCATTGTTATTCCATTACATTGTAATAAGAGCTTTCGTAAAAGTAAGTTTTTATGCTTTAAAGACAGCATAGACAGTTGTAAATAATTTCTTAATTGACATCATCATATCCAAAACGTTCACATAAAGTTTACTTTTCCTAAAATTTAGTTTTATGTAGATTTTACTTTAATAGTATTCTAATTTAATGAATATGCGGATATATTTGTAAGATTGAATTTTAAAATGTTATAAGACTAATATCATATTGTTGCTAAGCGCAAATCAATCACAAAGCTAACCAAGAAATTCATAAATAAAATAAAACGATATCTAGAACAAATCATAATATTTATAAATCATTAGATTATAGGAATTACTGCTAATTGTTATCTAAAATTAACAGTAACAATTGTTAACTAAACTTTCTTAGATTTAACCTAACCGAAAATACAGCTAACTGTAAGACTATGATTTACATGTAAAAATTTACATTAAAGATAGAGAATTATATTAATTATATTATTAGAGAATTATAAGTATTACTTGAATAGAGTTATCAACAAAAAATGATTAACTATATTTAATATAAAACAATATGTCTTAAATGTTTTAAAATTTCTTTAAATATATATGTATAAACAAAACATGAAACTTACTCGAAAAATGTTGAAACTCAAAGTGATTACTCCGAATATTATTAATAACATAAATGATATTTCAAATTTTGATATAAAATGATCCAAGAATCTTTAAAAGCGATAAAATATATTATTACGCATACTATATATATGTATTATGGAATAGATACCTACTTCATGGCCTTACGATGCATATCTACAGCACTAATTATACTCTTGAGAACCGAACTCTTTTTTTGTAAATTAATATCTTGCGATATATAAATCTGCATTGCGTTCTCGATACGATAACTGTGAATAAATTTATAAAATTAGCTTTGAGGTAAAGTGATTGTAATCTTCATAAATTCATATATAATATGCAATCAATTAAAGATTATAACATTTGTAATATTAGATAATGAATAATATAAGTAAATCAGTATTTGCATATACTTTTAAAAAGTATTATAGATGTTTTAAGAGAGAGAAGGAGAGAGAGAAAGAGAGAGAGAGAGAGAGAGATATTATATATATTGTTGCTATTATATATATGCGTTTAAGTAGTCGTTTACACAATTTGAAACGCTTTATAAAGTAAACCATTTTAATATTTCTAATAATACTTTTATATATGTATAAGTCTTACATGATATTTTCCACATCTATAGAGTCACTATTTTTTTATTGATATTTAAAAAAATTTAAAAAAAAACTGTTTTTGATTATTAACATAATTATGTTGATGATTAGGGCTTGAAATAACATGTATTTTCCAGTTCAAAATAAAGTTTACTGTAATTATTTTATTAGCAGAATAAAATATTATTATCTATTTATATCTCGTTAAAAAGACGTATTGATATATCAATTATACCAGTTTATCCTTCAAAATCATTATTTTTCTAACATTTTATTTTCACATTCCATCATTTTAAACATGTCCATAAATTTCGAATATCTTGTATATGAAGTGATTAATTTATTTAATAAGCCAACTAACTGCTTTCAATTCTAATAATTTAATTATTATTATTATTATTTAATTATTATTATTATT